TCTATCATAAGCAAAGTATGCGTCTTGTGTGGCAATAAAATGCAAAAGTTTGTTTTGGGGGCAAATATAAATTTTGGGTTTGTTGCCAAACTGGATGGAAAATGAATACGATGATAATGTCAATCTAAGGTGCGGAGTCTCATGTCTTGTGTTACGATTTCCGACTGACCGATAGCATAGTATCCGCGTTATTCTCGGTTTTGTCGAAAAAAGAATACCTACCACGCAGTTTGCAGAGGGCTGTACATACTTACATCGAGGTTGTGTGTTACTTAATACTCAATTTACATTTAATGTGCAATGCTCAATTTAGTAGACATATGTATTGTATTTACACGACGTAGGTCATTACATCAACGGTGGTTCATTTTCTGTTATGTTTGAAATGATTTTTGTTTGTTCTACATTACTAATGAAAGGCTATAAGGAAGAGCAAAGCAATAATGAACACGTTATAGTTGTGTGCTGTGAGTATGTAGCATAGGTGATGCGATAAAACACCGATAAAATGAAAGAAAATGTTGGATCGCTTTACCTCGCCGAAACATTCAATAAATCATGCAACATCAATTGATAGTTGAGTCCGAGTCTGTTAGTTGATGAAACTTCTTTCCCCAACAACTCGAGATAACAAACATTTAAAAACGCATGCGCTCAACAAAACAGACATGGAAAAGAGACGAAAAATAGTTATCATCCAAATAGTTAAAGACCGAAACACAGTAGGTAATACTTTCCTGAGTCCAGGCAAATGAGGTGACTCCTTGCATCCTCTCTCAGGTAGCCGTCAGGTCGAATCACGATTGGCTTTTCAATTGTTATCCTGTAAACAGCCGGCAAGTGTGACTATAGACGCAAAGCTCCATTCAGGTTTGGTTGGGTTATCCCTGTCCTGAGAGGAATGAACATCGGAAACTGACCTGTCCAGTGTGACCTGGCTATTTCAGTTTCACTCGAACTCACTCGTTACTCGTTCTTAATTATCTTGAGCCCGTCAATCAAACAAAGCAAAGCATGAAGATGGGCGTGTCCGCCCGCAATCAGTGATCACTCTCTCGCGTCTGACTCCCGGCCGCCGCGGCCAGTGACCCCGGGCGGTCACGTGATCGGCCGGCCGGGACACGGGGACCGGGCGGGGTGAACCGAGTATGTATGTAGGTACTATTGGTCTCAAGATAAAGGTCCAGGCGACCTGCAGTTCGGATGCGGTGAATACCCTCACCCTCACCACAGCTCGAGTGGGGGTGGTGCTGGATGGGAGGAGGGATGCACTCGGCCCGAGCTGTGGCGAGGGTTAGGGTATTCACCGCATCAAAACTACAGGTCGCCTGGGCCATTATCTTGAGACCAATTGCACAGAACAAGATAACACTAAAAGGCCTGGCTACACTATGCGTTTTCTGCGTGCGTTTTTTTTTTTTGCGAGTTTGCGTGATTTGCGGAATATCGTTCTAGAAAGAAACGACATTACGTTTTTGTTATATGTTTTTCATATAAACTTTTAATTACCATAAACGTTTCATCAACTTTTATATAAGTATTAAAAAAGTTTAATTAATAATAACCTTTTTTCTAGAACGATATTACGCAAAACCCGCAAACACGCAAAAAACGCACGCAGAAAACGCATAGTGTAGCCAGGCCATTACAACACTGGCCCGGACTGACCTGGAGGGGTGCACGGTATTGGGTCGGCCACACCGTCCCGTCTTGTCCTCCGTCACGGTGACGCTGATGTAGCTGGTAAAAAAAAAAAACAGCCGCAGGTCATTGATCGGAAATAAGAATACCGTTCCCAAGGATGACTTGTGGTGTTGAGCACGATTCTGACCTCAGAAAAGTAGGTACTATATTAGCAGGCTGTTTTTATGTTTCAGTAGGGTCAAGGGTGGTATATCGTCTGATTAAGAAGTAAGTTTCATTGAAATTCCTCGGAGTCGCTTTGCCCTTAGGCCCCTGATTGAGCTAGAGCTAGACTTTCGCAGAAAAAAAACGAGCGTCTTGCCAGTGACGAGATGCAGCCGATTCGGAAAGATATAAACGGATGACACAACAAGACGACAACAACAAAGGTGAGAGAGGGATTCATGCATTGTGCTAGGTCGCATAACAGGTGAGATCAAACTGTCAGTTTCCTCTTGATGCGGGCAGTAGTAGCACGCTCGTTTTTTCTGCAATCTCTAGCTCAATCAGGGGCCGAGCGCCGGGAGGTCCAATTCTGACCCCCTCCTTTACATGTTGGATGCTATAAAAAGACTGTTTTAAATCCGCGACATCAAAATAGGAAGGAGCTAACACTTGCACACCTGCTGGAATCATTGCGGCTGTTGACCAATTCAGGGAACTGTAGTTTCCATCGAGCCACGCCTGTGTCGTGGGACGCAATGCAAAGATGCTGAGTGACCTCTTCGTTACCGGACCCAGGACCGTGGTAGATGTGAGATGGGTCGTCCAGGGTGACGTCCACCTGAGGGGAAACAGAGAGAGAGAGAGAGAGAAAGAGAGAGAGAGAGAGAGAGAGAGAGAAAGAGAGAGAGAGAGTGAGAGAGAGAGAGAGAGGGAGAGAAAGAGAGAGTGAGAGAGAGAAGAGAGAGAGAGTGAGAGAGAGAGAGGAGAGAGAGAGAGAGAGAGAGAGAGAGAGAGAGAGAGAGAGAGAGAGAGAGAAAGAAAGAGAGAGAATGAGTGAGAGAGAGAGAGAGAAAGAGAGAGAGAGAGGGAGGGAGGGAGAGACAGACAGACAGACAGAGTGAGAGTGAGAGTGAGAGTGAGAGAGAGAGGAGAGAGAGAGAGAGAGAGAGAGAGAGAGAGAGGGAGAGAGAGGGAGAGAAAGAGAGACAGACAGACAGAGTGAGAGTGAGAGTGAGAGTGAGAGTGAGAGAGAGAGGAGAGAGAGAGAAAGAGAGAGGAGAGAAAGATAGAGAGAGAGAGAGAGGGAGGGAGAGAGAGAAAGAGAGACAGACAGACAGAATGAGAATGAGAGTGAGAGTGAGAGAGAGAGGAGAGAGAGAGAAAGAGAGAGAGAGAAAGAGAGAAAGAGAGAGAGAGAGGGAGGGAGAGAGAGAAAGAGAGAGGTGATAGTGAGAGAGAGAGAGAGAGAGAGAGAGAGAGAGAGAGAGAGAGAGAGAGAGAGAGAGAGAGTGAGAGAGAGAGAAAGAGAAAGAGATAGAGGAGAGACAGGGAGAGGGGCGACATTCTAATACTTGTTCGTTCCAATACAGCGGCATGAAAGTTACAGCTACGCCTTCCCTTGAATATTCAACACTATCCTTGGTTGTTTTGTTGTTCCGTTGGGAACAGGCCAGTCGGCCCGATATACGGCATCTGTATAGCTACAGCCGCTACAGGATAATTGGATCAGGTGTAGACATTGGACCAACGACCAACGAAGGCGAACCAACCCTGAACCACCCACGGCGGCGCTGAAGCGGCACCAACCGTCCAGGTGGGACGGGAGGTCATTGTTCAACTTCATTCCTAACTTGAACTTGTCCTTATCACTGGTCTTCTGGTAGGGGTGACCACAAGTCCGGAATGGGAAGCAGTATTGGATGCGGATGGGTGAATCCTGAGGAAGACATGAACGGATAACCAAATATTCAACGAAATAATTCAACGCTTTTGAACTTTCCTGTAGCTTGAACGTATCTTTATTCGCCATAAAAATATTATATATGAAGGTCATCCATTAAACTTGACTTCATCCTACTGCGCTGAGCATCCTGACGAGAAGCATCAGCATGAAGAGAACGTTTCGTATGAAGGCCTGGGACTCACCGACAAGTGGGAGTCGTAGTTGTTGAAGACGGTGACCGGCACGGTCAACACCTCCCCCGTCTTCACCGAGTGGGGGATCGACATGTCGGCGAACAGCAGCCTGGTCGCCCGGATCGAGACCTTCTCAGAGATGCCGAAACCCTTCTGCAACGGCCCAAACGGAAACAGCTCGAGGCGATGCTAAAGCACAGACGGCTGTTTTGTAGGTGGTGACTTATAAACACGCATCAAAACGGGTGAAAGCTGTGCAGGATGCAGCTGATGATGCGAAAGCCTCTTACATGAGAACATTGACCTAAAGGGCGGTCTCCAAAGATCAAGCTACCCCACCTTGACCTAGTGACCTTAATGCATTGACCTTGACCTTTGACCCCGCGTTCTGACCTGAGGATGGGTGCAGGTAGCTGTGGCCACCCATCTTGTAGCACGGCCGGGTAGCCGTAAAGTCACGTGACCGATTCCTCGCTCACTGAAATGCACGCATTTAACACATCAATTGCAAAATGTATGAATAGGAAAACAATTGAGATTAAGTCGATATGGATATTTTACATCATCCCTGAGACAAAGACTGAGACCCAAAAACTGAGGCAAAGAGCACTAAACTGTATTTACGAACATTTCTTAAGAGCATCAAATGAATAATACTTTTCATGGATATGCATATTAAAAAAACAGCTTCGCGATGCGATAGAAACGCAGTATGGACGATCGAAGAGCACGATGTAGCAGATCAAATAGCTGCGGTTTTTATTTTAGAACAGACTACCTATGCTAAAGAATCAACGTTCTCAAATGAGATCGATATTGGCTAGAAATATGAGCACATTAATTTTGGCAATCAAAAAGTGATAGTCGTTTCGAAGTTAACGTCCTAGTGCAACATCACAATCAAATATGCATCTTTCATGGACGTATTTGCGTCAATACATATAATTACAACGATACGAGATGTGATTGCCGAATGCTTACTCCAGTGTGTGAGACTCGTGATGAATCACATCCTGCCTGGTGTCCAAAAATACATCCTGAAATAAGACCACGTATCGTGACAGTGAGTGAGGTAAAAGAACAGTGATCAAATTCTTCATAAGCATGACGAGCACACCCATTAACTGTTCTCATGTAAACGTATCAAGTTTTCTAATGAAAATATCGCAGTCTTGGGGTCTAAGAAAAATTTTAAGCAAAAAGTTCAGCATAAAAACACAAAGGCCGTTTTCACGACCGACTATCCGGCGAATGCACCTAATTTGACCAAATCTGCACTTAATCTATTTTACAGCAAATATCTTCATTTTATGAGTTTATTTCGGTGTTTTAATCGATGATACTCTCTGATAACATAATACAGCAGACATATAAACAATTAGTGCAACCCTAGCTGATAGCTACTAAGAGACACGCTGACCTAATTTGACCAAATCTGCACCTAATCTGCATCAAATGTGCACCAAATGTGTGCCAGATGGCCGTCGTGAAAACGGCTAATGTTCAGCCGCCTCGCATGTAAGCACAGTCAGCGCGACTGACCTGGTCGTGCGATCCGCTGTGTCCGTATCCAATAGGGTAGTCACCCACGGAGCGGGTGTAGCGCGAATAGCCGCTCCAGGGGGGAAAATCGTACTTCACACAGGGTGAGAAGTGCAATCTCCCAGTGGCCAGTGGAACCATTCCGGCCCACTGTGGGATGAAACATAAGCTTTCTCAGTGGGAAAAGAGACATTCTAGCCAAGTGTGAGACAAAACCAGAACTATTCCAGCCTACTGTGGAGCAAACATAACCATTCCGGCTCACTGTGACACAAAGCCAGAATAATTTCAGCCCGCCGTGGGACAAAACCAGAACTATTCCGGCCCACTGTGAAATAAAACCAAAAGCATTCTAGCTCACTGTGCGGAAAAACATTCCAGCTCAGTTTGCGACAAACCAGAACCATTCAGTGATGGTATGCGGGTGTATAAAGTACAACACGGTGATGGAATGCCGCCGTCGACTTATATACCGACAGAAATAGCGGGGAAGTCGTATGATTGAGACTCGATGGCATAACCAGCTGAAATCAATCGCAGGACTACTGAGAGTGCCTATCACTATCACACACGCAGATAGCACAACGTACGACGATGTTATTTCGGTATGATTTGTGTGAGCTGTATGAAACGTCGGTAAAAACTCTTGGAGATAGCACGCATACCTACTCATAATGTCTATGGCATCATTAATATCGGGGTTGAAGGTGACATGTTTGCATAACTGTGCATTTGCCACAAGTCTCGGCATACGTTGCACGCTAAGATGGCAGTGCATTTCGTGGTGTCCATTTGGGTTTGTATCACTGGCGATCCATACCCTGAACACCTCCGCTGTGTCCGCGTGTGGATGTGCGCGGAACGATGTTTTCCTGTCGCGGTACCGATCCAAATTACTGAATCCCTTGATCAGAATGTCGAGGCTTGAAGAGTTCACTCCCGCCCTGTTTTGGTGGCAGAAGAAAGGTCACAAGTCAAACACAGCACCAAAAGAAGGGAGGTCAGAGATGCATGTGGCATGGTGACTGCAGGTGATGCACACACAGGCCGTGCAGAATTGAAGGCAGGGAACACGGTAGATACAGAAGTAGGTGATGTATTTCTACTCAAAACATTTCATTCGATATATTTTGATATTTTTACGTGTACTAGTGTTACTTGTGTGCATGATGAAACCAAACTAAATGCAGCATTGAGCATACATCGTCATCAAATAAGGCATTATGGGCCAAAATAATAAAAACAAATAGCGAACTGGTACCTTAGGAGAGACTCGAACAGTTTCTGCTCCAGAGCTTTGCAACGGTCGTTGAGGTCCTGCGAAAATAAACAAAAGCACATTCAACGGTAGAATATGCCCTTTTTACGAAAACAAAACTTTCTGAACCTCGGGACATCGCTTTTATAGCAATTCATTAACTTTTTTGAAGGTGGGAGGGTCCCTTTAACACATCATTTACGCGCATGGCTGCAATGACGTATTTTTCTCTGGCCAGCACTGCTGCTGTGTGCTCAGGACATACCATTGGTGGCGGGTGGAGATTGTGATCCAAATTTCTGAACACGTCCAGTGCTCCTTCCCTCGTTAGTTCGTACGGGTGACGACCCCTCTTCCTCAAGCCCAAACCGGCGTCCTTCACGGCTGTCGACAATCGCGGTAAAGGGATTTCAAACAGGTGGGATACCAAATCGGACGGCATGGGCTGCCAACTCAGACAGGTTCATGAAACGCGACAGATGAAGATAGCATTTCCTTATGCACAGATAGCTGCTAAAGAAGGAGTACTTTGAAAAACCAAAATGGACAGATAGAGCATACGACTTATCAAATCAGACAGGAGTACCTAACTATTAAACTAGGCAAAGCAGGCCGCTTCATGAACATATTGGCAACAAAATCGAGAACGCTGACTGAAATAGAATTTGCTATTAAAATTTGGAACTACCAATTTTTAAATAAGATAAGCGGAGTTACCAAACAAAGTAAGTGCAGGTGCCAACTCGCGTACTTCCTTTTTCAGCCAAGAAAAGGGCAAAAGGCGCCACCCGGAGACGACCAAACTGGACAGAATGTGCTACCAACTTATACCAGGGCATTTACCTAATGGAATAGGTGGAGTGCTATCAAAGGGGGCAAACAAGTTGGAAAGCAAAACATTAACTATGACCACCGTATTGATAGTGTGTTGCCGCTAAATTGGACTGTTTGGGAGCCCCTCCGGACAGTTTGGCAGTCCTGTCGTACAATTTGGCAGTCCCGTCAGACAGTTTGGCAGCCCTGTCGTACAGAGTTTGGCAGCCCTGTCGTACAGAGTTTGGCAGCCCTGTCGTACAGAGTTTGGCAGCCCTGCCGTACAGAGTTTGGCAGCCCTGTCGTACAGAGTTTGGCAGCCCTGTCGTACGGAGCTTGGCAGCCCTGTCGTACAGCACTCACCGACGGTACAGCGGGAGTTCGGTTCGGCGGTAACGACAAGCTCGGCTGCTCCGTTGGGCTCAGCTTTGCTGGCAGTCCAGCTGGCTGTCACCTGGTGGTGTCAGATGACAGGTCAGAGGACAGGTCAAAGGATTCAGGACAGTGTCACAATGACAGATCAGAAGACAATGACATGTCAGAAGACAGATCAGAGGATTTCGAATGTTCACAATCGCTACGTTTCCATGACACATCTAAATCGAGTTATATTAGCCGTTTTCACGACGGCCATCTGGTACACAATCTTTATCCAGGAAAGACAGGACGAATGACACCTCTGTCACTAACCTTCCCCCTTCAGCATCCGATCTCCCCTGATCTGTACCTCCTCCCCCCCAAGATTCCTTTACTACCTCCCCCCCCCCTCCGATCTCCTCGACTTGCCTCGTTGGGGAAGCAGGTTTCAACATCCATCTCCACGGTGTCTGCCATCACCTCGCCACTCTCGAGCTGGCTGTAGACGAGCAGGCGCGTCTTGGGACTCATCTCGGGCACCATGTGCAGAACCAGCTCGTCCGTGGCCAAGTGAGCAATCTCACTAGCCACCACGCGGTTGCGAGACATCACCTACACGGCAGAGGAACAGGTTACGACGAAAGAACTAGGAAAGATATGGGAGAAAGAAGAAAAGTCAAGGGTAAGAGAAGATGCAGGCTGATAATGCCTCGCTTCTCTAAAACAATGCCTACACAGTCTATGAGTAAGAACGCACTGCCTAAAAGCCAATATACCTATGAAGAAAACAGTGTGCATTTTAAACAAGCTTGTAAATGCACAAAGCTAGCTTTATGAAATACGAAAAACGTGAAAAACGAAAACGAAAAAAAGCTAAAAAAAAAGAGCAAACTCGCAAGGACCACCCTTACCCCAGCATGTTCCCCTCCAAGCTGACCTGTAGCTGGACGACCAGCGACTCCTTGGGCAGGGTGGAGAGCAGCGGCAGGCGGATGTCGCCATGGCAGGGCAGCTTCACAGGCATCTGGGCAATGTCCAGAGCCAGGTAGGAGCTGGATGGTGAAGTCATCACCGACAGATACTCGTCCTGGCCTCGCCAGTCCGACTGGCGCTTGGCCTGAGAGAGAGAGAGAGAGAGAGAGAGAGAGAGAGAGAGAGAGAGAGAGAGAGAGAGAGAGAGAGGGAGAGAGAGAGAGAGAGAGAGAGAGAGAGAGAGAGAGAGAGAGAGAGAGAGAGAGAGAGAGAGAGAGAGAGAGAGAGAGAGAGAGAGTCAGTTAAGACTGTTAATCCACGCCCCGTTGATTATGGCAACTGGCAAGTTAGTTTTAGGAGTTTAGCAAGTAGCAGGTTTAGCAAGTGAGGGTTTTACAAACTCACTGAATTGGCTGAAAACAATTTATATGCGCTGACGCGCTGTGTTCACTGGGGTTTTTATTTTTGTTCTCTTTTTAATAAAAAGGAAGAAATAAGCGAAAGACAAAGGTTACACTTTTGACATTTCTACATTTAAACCCCCGAAATGATAACCTAGATTCACCAAATTTGCATAAGGAGGAAATTTCCTACAGATTCAACCATCTTGTAAATTTAGTGTCTCCAAGTGTCATAGGAGCCAATGACCAGGTAGTCGTACGCTCCCCCGCCCCTGGCCGTCCGCGTTATGAAAAATGTCCTGCCAGGGCGAGGGTTAAATGTTGAGTTCAAGAAGGGACAGCAACGCACAGCAAATAATATCCGTCAGGGTGAACTTACTGTGATTTTGACCGAATGCACTCTCTGGGCAAACTCGGTCATCTTCAGCTTGGCGATACCTTCGCTGTCTGTCTTGACAGTCGTGCAATCTCGGGCCGTTCCTTTACTAGAATCAGGGCTCACTTTCCAAAGGAGTGGCAGACTCTCCAGCTCTTCACGGAGCTCCGGACTGAGCTGAAAATGGAAATGGAATATGGTTAGCTGGAAAGTTTAACATAAAGTAGCTGGAAAGTTGGATCGTTAAAGTTTTGCTGTTGGGCTATCCATCATAGTTATCGCCTTCTGATGGCTGCTGGTATTTAAAATAATCTATCGGTAGACATATATGCTTGTCCCATGTTTGATTCTGCTAATTAGTCTGGATCTTTTTACCCAAAGTGACATGTTTAGGAGACTTCAGACGTGCTTTGAATGGACAGTCCGCACGGGTCGCGACTTACAGCATCATAATTAATTGCTACACAAATTTAGAGCAGTCGTTTAGCTGATATGCGGCCAATTGATATGTGACCTTAATGGTAGTGTGCCAGCTTTCCTGGACCGTATGGAGTTAATGGCTCAGATAACGAGAACCGGATTTTTAGAACTTATCCATACCTTCAAAACTCATGGAAACGTCTTAAATTCTTCAAATTTTGAGTACCCCAGTGCGAAATTCGCCCCGACGGGTTGTAGGTCGTACCCCAACCACATTTCACAACACTATGAACCAGTATAACGCCTTTTGGGGCGACTAACGGAGCGAGCGAGAGGGTGGGCCTTGCACGTGCGAAATTGCGAGGGGTACCTCCAACTGACTTGTGCACGGCACCCTACTAACTGGTCTCTAGCGATGTGCCAAATTTGGGCACAATCGGCCCAGCCGTTCTCGAGATCTGGAAGCGGCACCCTGCACGTGCGCACGTGCAAAATGGGTCCCAACTGACTTGTGCACGGCACCCTACTAACCGGTCCCTAACCGTGTACCAAATTTGAGCGCAATCGGTCCAGCCGTTCCCGAGATCTGGAAACGACCCCTGCACGTGCGCACGTGCAGCAGCACCCCAACTCTGGCACATGTATATGCAGTGCCTAGTGGGTGCCTACCTACATGCCAACTTTCAGCGCAATCGGCCAAGTAGTTACCGAGATATTGCAACAATTACAAAACTGACACCTCTTCGTTTTGCACGTGGCACGTGCATAAGGGGTCACCCACATGCATCGGGAATAGTCCAATACTTGGTAGAAGGAATGTAGCTACCCTACAAAAATTACCGCGTGTAAATCGGTCAAGTGGTTGCTGAGATATAAGCCTCGCAAAAGCGTGACCACGGCCGGCCGGCCGGCCGGCCGCTCATACTCAGAAATTTCCGTTAATCTAAGGAAAGACTACGCTCGCTTCGCTCGCTCCGTAACAATAAATGCACACACTGAAATCGCTATTACCGATAGGCTCATCCAATCAAGTTTCGATAAACCCGTTCATCATCATCTCCTGCGGTTTCGAACACGCCTGTTAGGTGGTGCGGTAGACCGCGCCCAAAGCCAGGGCCCCGGTAACGTGAGGTAGCCGAGTCGGGGCAGCGTGCGCTGACCCAAGCCGGGGCCGCGCATCCTCCCGGTGTCATGTGATAGCCCGGGGCTGCCCGCGGGGATGCGGTAGACCGCGCCCAAAGCCGTGGCCCCGGCGTGGGTCAGCGCACGCTGCCCCGACTCGGCTACCTCACGTTACCGGGGCCCTGGCTTTGGGCGCGGCTTCTGCTCATACTTTTACCGGGGTTACATGAGCAAGTAAATGCGTATCAGGAACGGATTTTCCTATTCGCTCACCATTGTAGTCCGTTTGTAATGCGTATTAACTCTGCTCATGTAACCCCGAGCTTTGTGGTGCGGTGGTGGTGCGTCGGGCCGCGCGCTCCGACTTCGGCCAAGAAAAATGCGTCAGCTGATCATTGTCATTTCTGCCACTTTCATGTGGTGAGATGGGGTCATAACTTTAGAGACGGCTGTTTCATATCAATTATTTTACATAAAATAATATTTCAAACCATAAATTAATGTTCGACAGCCAAATTAAAGAAACAATACCAAATACCAATACAGGCTTACAGTTTAAATTCGACATTGTGTTGTCTATAAGGGGGTAACTTTATGCCCCCCAGCGGCTCGTGGGTTAAAACTCATGCTCATGGTCGTTCATACTTTTTTGTTACTTCTTATTTTACTTCATGGCTTATGACCTTTTATTGTTCATTTTTTATTTTTTTTTCCATGTGTAAGTATCTGCATTTTTATCCGGGCGTGTGTAAGCTGTCTCATGTCTGTGTGTGCCATATTCATTGTTTTTAATCTTGTGACTCCGTCTTTTAGTGGGTCAAGTGCCTATTGACGGTCTGTTGAATAAATTCAAATACAAATGCAAATATAAATTTTACTTTTTGGGACCTCCGCTGCTCCTGCGACGTCATTTGTAAGAAATAAATTGGCCTCCTAAAATGCGGCAGATGTTGCGCACAAAGCAGCTTATATCACCACGTTTTAACCCACGCACCGACGGGGGGCGGATATCCGCCCCCTCCCCCCTGAGGTTTTTCGCGAATAGCGGGAAAACCGCGGCGCGTAGCGCCGCGAAATTTTGCACGACTATTCTCTCATCAATTTTACACATGGTGTGCAAGTTTGAACCTCCTAACTTTTAAGGTCAGGTCACCAGGTCACTTTGAATGACCCAACCTCAAGTCACTTTTTTGCAACTTTGTCACCGTGCCAGAGCTACAGTAGATGTCGGAGGCCTTTGAAAGTCGCAGGATGTTATTAGGTCATTAGTAGCTACAATTTGTTTATCTCGGAATTTTGATATCGGTGACCTAAGGTCAGGTCAATTTCTCGACCTCCCCATTATGTCAATGGGGGAAAATCAACTCCCTGTTTTTACCACTAAAACGGGTCGGAATGGCTCCATAAACCATACATGACCTCATATACGATCAACATTCACTACCTTGAGGTCTGTTTTGCTGTTGGGCAGCTGTAAGGTCATGTGACGTCATCAAAGGTCACCAGCGGTTTTTTGACAATACCTCCGTACAGGAACAAGATACAGCCGCGCGGATGGTCTCATTGTGTTCAGCTCGTCAAGGCGCATCGAATGATATACATGATGGCCTCGAGGTCACGTGACCTGAGGTCAACCTTTGACCTTGACCTTTCGAGGTCAACATATATATCCTTCGATGCGGATTGATGAGAGGATCACGATGATGCCCTTAGTTTTTTTCCCTATATTGACTAGTTCGAAAGTTATTCGAGAATAACTCTGTCCATACCTAGCGCCGCCATTTTGACTTTTTTGACCCCTGTGACGTCATCTTTGACCTGACCTGAAAATGACCTTAGTAAAAATTGTAGACCTTGTCCGTGCGTATCCCTTGTCGTTTACCGCTTGTCGCTATCTTGCTTCGTTCTCGAGATCTCAGGGGGGGCGGTCATCCGCCCCCCCCGTCGGTGCGAAGTTGGCGCAGACCCCCGTCGGTGCGCGGGTTAACGATGGTTTTAGTATAAGATTTAAAAATCGTTAGATCTCCGCTGACGCCACAAATTCTAAGGGGCAATCAAATACATTAGCCCCTTAGATTCTGAAAATTGGAACTATGAAATCAAATAACTCCGAATAAAAGCAATTATCGATGTTGTGAGCGCGGCCAAACCCTTGGCCAAACCGGTAGGTGCAAGCCAGGGACCCCAATTTGGCTATCTCAACTCAAAACTAATGTTAAGGTGGGATGGTCACTTTAACTGTGATTGAGCGTTTCACATTATCATAAGGCGTGTTTTAAGTAGCAGTGCTACATGAGAAGTTTTTTTATTCCATTTGCGAAAAACAAGCAGTTTTAAGCCCTGGGTCACGCCTTCGGTTTTTCGGACGCGTACAGCTTATCCCATTTTCGGGCAGTGCATCTAACCTTGTTCAGCTCATATCTGGGCAGGAGATAGGTGAAGTCGGCTAGCGGCCACTCGTTCCCTGGTACACGCACGGTCCAGCCCGCGCTCCTGTGGTCAGAATGATGACATCAGTGCACCGTTAGCTGACAAGCAAGAGACGAAATATGTCAAAACGTAGACAAAATCCAGCGGGCGACTGGCGTCTATGTACATTCACTCACTCGCTCACTCTAACCGACTCACTAACTCGCTCACCCCTCCCTCCCTCACTCAATCACTCAATCACTCACTCACTCACTCACACACTCACACACACGCTCACTTACTCTATAACTCACTCACTCCATAACTCACTCAGTAAATACATAACTCACCTAATAACTCTTTTAATAACTCACTCAATAACTCACTCAGCAGCTTACTCGCACGTATGCACAAAGCCCGACCGCACGCACACTCACTCATTCGCTCATTCGCTCACTCACTCACTCACTCACTCGCTCACTCACTCACTCACTCACTCACTCGCCACTCACTCACCGAGTAGGCGGGTAGTACATGGCCTGAGTGCAGATCTCAACCAATTCATTTGTGGCTGGGACTCCGTCGGCATATTTAACTCGGTACTGCGAAACCAATGCACATCACACGCTGTCAGCACAAAGCTTGAATTGTAGGAAATAGTTACAGCTAATAGTGGTTATGTCAATGTTTCACATGTCTGATTTCGGGTTACGCTTGTCCTTTTAGGTACCTACTTATATGTATCCACCGTTAAAGAAGAGAAAATACCTGATTCATTATGGTAGTTCGTGATGCCGTGTTTGGTTTACACCGAACACAGAAAAATAATTACCTAACAACTTTAAACACATGCATTTGTGCGATGGTTGTGGTATAATATATAGTCTGCTCACGAATTTCACCAATAAAGTCTGTGTTTTGCAGTCTGCAAACTATGTAACTGCGGTCTGTGATCTGTATTGTCTATCGATTGGCTGACTCTCTGTTATGTAGACTGTCGTTCCATTGTGCGTTCTGTGTGTGCGAGTATTATGCCAACTCACCACCAGAGTTCGGCTCAGGTTGGCCGGCACCGTCCAAAATGTGACCGCTTGCTCCAGCACCTTTTCCCTGCTACCCCTTCTGATGGTGACAGCACGTTGTTCCACTACTCCTGACGCTGGATCAGTGACGTTCAACGGAATGTCAAAGGACAGCCCGCGTCTGTTCTGTGAACGTGAGGAAAAACATCAGTAGGGTGACACGACGGGAACAAGGTGGCAAATCAGATGATCGTGATGAAAAAGAGATGGTTCAAGCCAAGGACAGTAAGTGCCTAATCATTGAAGGGATCGATGACACAGAATATAATGGTAACATGTGTGACCTACAGCGCCGTCGAATACGTCACTGCTAGCTAGCTAGCCACCACCACCCCTTCTAAGCACGCGGTCAGACCAATGGGCGACGTTTTGGGTCATCCTGTGTTTTGAAAAATCGTTTTGAGTACCTACGGCAACGCAGATGTGCATGCACCTCAGCTATAGTTTTAGGGCGCTGATCTGTGAAAAAGACAGTGTGCTAATCTGAATAAGAAATACTGGAATGAATGAATGGATGAATTAATTGATTAATTAATTAATTAATTAATTAATTAATTAATGATTGAATGAACATTCTTCATTAATTACTGAACCAAACTGGTTTATAGTGACATTAGTTGTACAATGTAAGTACAATGTAAGTTTACAAAGACCTACATTGCAAGTCTGCCGAAAAAGACATTTTTGTCTTTCAGAAACTATTTTGATAATTGATGCATCAGCGTTTATCTGTCGATTTTAGGTTTTTAACAATTCCAATAGCTATGTTGAAAGCAAAGTTGATCAGATGATGCATAAGCAGGAAAACAGGGTACGAATACCTTATCACTGATGAGCATGTCCAGAGTTGCACATCCCCTCGAGTCAGTCTGAAAATCATATTCAGCGGGTTGAATACATACTGAAGTAGATTTTAAGCAAGCATATACAGTTGCATGCACGGAAAATGACTTTTAGCGAACCGTAGGCATTTAATTACACAACACGAAGAAGACAAAAGGTAGGTGAAAATAATTGTAAAACGTAAGCACGGCAGATATGCAGCTGTACAACGGAAACTTCCAATGGGGCTACTTACGATTTCAAAGGCCTTCCAGGTACCATTTACGTTGATTGTATTCGGCGCCATATTTTCCGCATTCACAAAAGCTCCCACAAGGGGAACGCCAAATTTATAGCTGAGAAAGAGAAATGTGACGTTTTCATGCATGTCTGACAGCCATATTACAATACATTGGTAGTCACAATGATGCTGCCTAGCAGCGTATTGGTAGTCACAACGAAGACACACATTGGGTCATGGCATGGTTAGTTACACTCTCCGGCCAAGAGGCATTGGTTCCCAGCCATTTGGACCGTTTTCGGTCAAACCATATAAGAGAAATAGAGCAATCATGCAACATTGGTTTACGTGCTATTTACATGGCGGTGAGTGATAGCCTGAAGGTAAATTTGCCATTTTGACCGGGACTTGGGTGCCGGACGCGGGGAATTATCATCAACTGAGGCAATTATAAGTTCTTCGAGTTGTTTATCACCCCCTCCGACGCTTTTTTTCATTTTTTTGTGCTTTAATTCTCGTCACTGCCGATCAAACTTAGATAGCGAACCAAACAATGAACAGCTAAGCTGATTTCCTTTTGGCAAAATAACATGCAACATGTCTTACTTACACCATAACTCCTTCTTAGGCCCGTCAACCGTCACAGTCAGTTAGTGCACTCTGACCTCGGGGGTCACCATTAATCCGTTCTTTGACGGCCATAAATGGTGATCTACTCACCTGGCGCAAACGGTGATGGTAACTGTCCTCTGTCTAGAGGTTACCGATTCTGGCGATGTAATATCGATGTCGAAAATGGGCGCAGGAGCCACGTCACCAACATGGAAGTTTTCCGTGTGGTAGAAATCAGCAGTTTTGTAGTGTATTTTCCAGTTCGACATCTGCAAAAATGTAGAACATCATCACAAACTGTTTGATGAAATGCTAATGCTATTTGATGACTGACAAGCGTATGGAAGAGATCATCTGATACACCATTTAACGGACAAATATAGATACATAGATATGGTGCCAGGTGCACAAATTTCAGTAGGGTGCAGGCAGTTGGGTAAATGGGCAAAGTGTATGCCTTGTGCCGCCGTGTGCATGAAATTAAGTAGTAGTGTATATAGGGTGGGCAAAAAAGTGTGTCACTTTTCAGCGGTAATTTCTTGAAAGTGGTAAAAGATACGAAGAAGAAACTCTCACAACTTAAAGAAAATCGGCTGGACAAATTATATGGCACCTATTTTAGGGAATATTTTCAACCGAACTGATGCTGCAATCATCATTTGAAAAAATGTGATCTGTGCGTCTCTCTTTTATTTGCGAATGTGCTCGAAGTAGGCACCTCAACGCTCAAGGCACACCTGAACGCGCTCCAGGAAGCTGGCGCCCACCCTCTCCGCAGCGTCTGCTGGCACTTCACGCACGTACCTACTGCTCGAAGCTGAGACGCAGCTCCTCTAGGCTACACCACTGCAATAATACCACTTATGTCCGCTTGGCCATATCAAATATCAAATTTTATTTTTGCTTTTATTGTTTTTACTTATATCAGAGTGTTTAAAAAGAATAATTTGAGCAGACAGAAAAAGCGTCCATTTTTATGTGCACTAAAAACATGTTCAAAAACTTTTGGCATTTCATTTTGTTTTCTTTTCTTTTTTGATGAAGAATAGGCCTATATAATCTATCAAGACCGACTTTTATGATCATAATAAAAGAACTAAGAAGCAATAAACCAGATAACAGACCGTCCTGCTAAGACGCATTAACATTGGAAAATGCCATCCTTATAGTAGTTAATCGTGCCAGCAATGCGCATCGCATTGGGCATTGAGCCTCTTCCGTCGAACTGGAGCTGGGGTGCACCGTTGATTGTCTTTACCGCATGCTGCCTTTTGAGTGCTCCTTGCGTGTCGCCTCTACACAGTCGTGTAGTAATGGAGCAGTAATGAAAATTGGAATAATGGAAAATTACAACAATGATAGCAATGCTGAAATCAAACAATCTATAATAAAAACATTTGCTAGGACTTACCACTGAGCCGTCTTCTGTAGTTGTCGAAAGTTTTCTTGCAGGCTGAAAAAGAACGACATTTCAAATCCTCGATCTGTAAAGAAAATGCAATTCAAAACAACTGTCAAGCACATCTAAAAGACTTGTTGAACCGCGCTAGACTGAGGGGTATTGAGCACCCCACTGTGGTATTCCATAAGTATCTAAAAAGCGGTGGCGTTGTGCGTCAATATTTGGCGCACATGTTTATCGGCTCCTATTCTGCACACGCGAAATTTTCAGAACCATCTCGCTGAGGTCGGGCTTCCAGGTCACGTCAAGATACCTCACATCAGAAAAATGTCAAATGATCGCCATAGTTTCACGAACTGAACAATCGCCTTGAAACATTCAGTGACTAATGAGAGCACCAGTATGCGTAAAATGCATACATATCTTGAAATTTTGATATCGGTTACATGAGGTCAGGACTCAGGGCAATTATAAGCCCTAACTTTTCTAAGCCTATTGAAGAAAAAGAGTGCCTCTTTTGATAGTGGCATACTGGAGCGATAATAACACCTAAGATGCGTTGCGGTTCCCGATGCGAATCGGCTAACATGCAACACGATCTTTTCCGGTTAGATTATATAGACTGAAGTACAGGATCTTTGACCGAGGGTAAAGCTTTGACTGTCAAATGTAGTAAATCGCTATACGTGTTTCAACGAGAGGAGCACGATGCTGTTTAAAAATGTCTAAAATATCTTGCCTTTCTTGAGTCAAAAGCAATTACAGAGAAACCCTTTTTAAAACGTCTCCTTGAAAAGTTTTTGCTCTCTGGAGGCTAAACCGTTGGTCTTAGGTGAAATCTAAGAGCTTATTTCAGTAAGAGCGCTAAATAACAGAGTTATTGAATGCGTTTTTCTGCGGTGCTGAGTGCTCTAGTTCCATTGGCTACGGGCTATGCGCCCCTATGTCAAACAAAAAAGAAGCTAATATAGGCATAAAATGACATTTGATGGCCTCTGGTAACATTTGACCTGACCTAAGAAGTGGCAGTATTACTTCCATCGTGCTTTTTGACGCTCTTTTGAATTCCGCTTACCGTGTGTCGTCACGTGACCCAGGAGCCGAGTTCTAGGGAGGGGTGTTCTTCGAGCACCCTCCGTTCCGGCGCAGCACCGGGCCCCGAGCAATTGCCCCGCAAGCTGACTTGAGCACTGTTACCATTTACCAGCTCCCACAGAACATTCGTGCATTGACAGAAATGTAGGTTTTTGTGCGATAATCTCACCGGGACAAACTCCTCTGCGATGTGAAGATTGAAAGAAGCCACTCCGTATTTCAGGGGTGTGTCTCTCCACTGGGCCACGCGCAAGCCGTCAGAATTAGTCACCCATGCCTCGGAAACCTGGGGAGCGAAATGAAAAGAAGTTAGTACATGCTACTGCATGTAATATTACATGTATTACTCGCACTGCATGCCTAGGGGCGCGTTTGTCATTTGACTCGGTATATTTGGTACTAAGCTGATAGAAGGCTTCTTCCAGCAAGTTTCTTATTTATTTCAAAGCAGCGGAAACGTTTTTAGGCTACTGATTTTAAAACAAGAAAAGCCATAAATGGGCAATAATGCTATTATGCTAATATACCTATTCTCAACAAAGCCTTCTTCAGTAGCATAGAAATGCACAGCAAATGGCACAAAGACTTAGTTCAGTTGCAAGTATCCCATCGCATCTGAAGCTGTGAGGTCACAATATAAATTCCTGCAACCAAAAAAAGGTGATTAACACCTGAAACCTATCCACTCTGGTCAATACATTCTTATGTATTTAGAGCGCCATTTTGTTTTCGACGTCTTCTGGCGTTACCGTTTGTGACTGGTCGGTTCCGCGGTGTGGGCGGAGCCTCCAGTCGAGCAGGATCAGCTGGAAGTGGGCGTGGTCTCCGGGCCGATACTGTGGCTTGTCTTGAACGACCAGCTTGATAGGAGGCGTGGCTTCATTCAGCCTTATCTGTTTGCAGAAGAATGGGGATTGGGGATACCTTGCATACATAGGGGAGACCCGGGAGGTATGGGCCGGTTTTGCGAAAAGGCAATTTTCTTCCAGTGGGCAGTGGCTAGTGGCTAGGCAGTGGCTAGGCAGTGGCTTTTTCACTCTGTGTACGTGAAATTGCCTTTCGCCTGCAACGTGTGCCTGATATTAGGCATCTGGGATCAACTAATTTGTCTCGAGATAACTTTCAATAAATCATGTGCTTTTTCGATCCATCAAAATGCACCGGGAGGTTTGGGCCATGGCCCGGGAGGTATGGGCCGGTGCCATGTTTCATATCATTTTCTCGACAATGAGAATAATACTCGTAGCTGGTATCTACCTCGATCTCTCTTAGAGCCCAGGAACCGCATAAGCGGCCAACAGCTTGCTTCATGGAGGTCACTTAGGCCCAGATGTATTTTGGTAAACTCAATCAGCCACCATGAAATAAGATGAATAATATTTTCCGTTCGAATGAAATTTGAAGTTAAATTTTCGACCTTGCGCGACAAAAATAAAACTTATTGACGGGGACATTTAATGAAAGCATCTTTTTATTTATTCAGGATCACCGGGGGTGGGTGGCCCAAACCTCCCGGTTAGGACGCCATAATGTGCGTAGCATCTCAGCTCATAATCTTGCAAGAAAGCTTTATATTGTCTATCCTGTCTTAATTTGCATGCTTTAAACTTTATGTTAGCGATGGTCTGACATCATAAAACGAGCCTGGTTCAAATTTATCACAAATTTTCTGTATGTACCGTATTTTACTCGAAGAGGGCAAAAACGCTTTATCGCCGCTCATTGCCACAGAAGACTGAGGAAGGTTTTGAAAATCACTTGGGATGTAATCACTGAATGGCTGCTACCAGTTAACACCGTCAAATGTGTAAAAATGCGCAACACTTCTTCAAAACTGCGATGGCCCATACCTCCAGGAGGCCCATACCTCCCGGGTCTCCCCTATGCCTCACATAGGCATATAGCAAAATATGACTGAATATGGCGTCATGATTTTCCAGCGGTCGGATTGTATCACTCAGGGGTCATGCATATTGCATAGGTCCAACAGTATTCGTCCGGGGTCAAAGGTCAAGTGGTGTCCGTCAGTGATTAGAGGTCAAGCGAAGCCAGTCAGAGATCAGAAAGAGATCGAGATCAGATTATGTCAGTCACTAGAGATGTCAATCGGATACCAACTTTTTGGTATACCGATACCAAACCGATACCAACTTGGTATTTGGTATTTCAATCCTAATGTGTTTGGTATTTTGTTGGTATTATGAACCCTTACTAATGTATAAGAGGCTAAGAAATTGGTAAAAAGTTGGTACCTATTTCCCTAATCTTTTAAAGTTGGTTTGGTTTCGGTATTTCCCCACGGTTTTGGTTGGTATTTGGTTTGGTATCGGTATTCCGATTTTCTGTAATTGACATCACTATCAGTCACCGTGGGGCCCAGGCCCTAGCTCAAAACACATCTCATTAAACGTAGGTACTTTTACGAATAACACCGAGCTATTTTCCCACCGCCGTTCTTTTCTCGGTCTCACAAATCACGTGACCCCTGGTCCGTGACATCACCTTTTTGGTTTCTGTCGTGAACAGGCCCTGGCTGGTGGTAAGTCCAAGAGAGACCTTGGCACCTTTGTGGTCGGTCAGGTTCAACGGCACCGGAACTTGAAGGCAGTCGATATTGTTCTCTGGAAAAAAAATATAGAAAATTATTCATTATTGAAAACAGGACATGTTTTTTGTGCGTTTATTCGCGTTTATGTTTAGTAGGAAAGGCGCTTTGATTTAAGCATTTTGCTTTTGCGCCAATTCGCGATTATTTTCTCCGATGTTTCTTGTTCTTGGTTATCAAAATATACTGAACTGAACTGAACTGAACTGAACTGGTGCTCCATGGATCTTCTTGGACCGCGGATGGAGATAGGCAGACGGCGGTTCGGCTATCGTCTATCGAGCCGCAGTTCTGCTCAACAGTCTCCCACCCCACGTGTCTCGGCTTCTCCCTCACCGCTCGTTTTGCCCGTTCTGTTAGCCTGCGCATATCTGGGTCCTTAGTCGAAGTTTTTTTCTGCAATATCTTCCAAATCCCTTGAACTATCAACACGAAACTCGCAATATCTTCGGCTGTATCAAGTTGAAACCTTAACCCGCGCCCTGGTGGGGGGGGGCTATTTTTTGCCCCCCCCCCTCCAGACTTTTCGATATATCTCCAGAACCGCTGCGCCGATCGTCACCAAACTTTCAGTACCCTCCCGGACATCAATTTTACACATTGTGACCAAAAATTTATCCAAAGGCTATGATAGGTTGGCCGGAAATGACGTCAGAGTGACGTCATGTTCTGCCGTTTTCGACCCAAAAAAGGGTTTCGCGGGAAGAGCTGTCAGGCCTATAGCTTTGCAAATACAGAAAAACTATAAAGACATAAAAGCTGTAGAATCGACAGGGCTACAAAACTGCTATCTCAAATTTTTGAAATTTTTGGATTTTGACCCCCAAAAATCAAAAAATAGATTTTTTGATTATAATAGCCGAAAAATCCAAAAAGTTTTTTGAATTTCGAAAAAACCTGGAATATATGTGATAGTCCTTACCGCCTTCTATCAACATACCAAATTTGAGATCGATACCTCTTTTTTGGCCAAGTTACAGCGAAAAAACTGTTCAAAATTGATGACGTCAAATTTTCAAACTCAATTTTTTGCAATTCTAGACCTCGTAGCGCAAAACAAAGACCACCATTAGACTCTGCGTGACGAGCTGCATCGAATCAATACCCATTTTATGCAAAAATATCAACTTTGAAATTTGACCTTTTTTGACCTGACCTTGACCTGACCTCCACCAGAAAGTGGCCTAAGCCGTACCTGATAGTCTTATAACCAACACCATTGAGTTGGAAATGAAAAATTGGCCATAAAACATGCATCGCACAACCTTAGTACCTAGTTAGGTTCATGTGACCTGACCTGTGACCCTTGGTGACCTGACCTGTGACCTGACCTGGTAATGTCAGTGACCTCTTATAGCAATATATGTACTAGGCAACTGACGCCCTATCGCTGATTCTCGACAAAATGCGTTTTCTTCGGTGTTATAGCGCATTCCCTAGATGACCCGTGAACGGTGAAACATTTCATCTTTGACCTGACCTGTGACGTCATCGGTGACCCCGAGGTCAATGAAATTTGGTTTCCCTCGACAAATTTGACAGGCCTTTCGAACGCCGTTTGAATTTTGCGGATCCGTCCAGTAGTTTCGGAGATACGAGGGGGGGCAAAAAATAGCCCCCCCCCCCACCAGGTCGCGTTATAAACAGACCCCACCAGGGCGCGGGTTAAGTCCAGATAAAAATGGCGTAGCTAATATAGGTCGACTGGAAATGACGTCAGAGTGACGTCATGTTCGGCTAAATTCGATAAAACATTCAAATACGGCATTAAATCCGAGGAGCTCATTTTACTTTATAGCTATACCTATCTTTTTTTGCATGAGAGGACTAAAAATACACAGAGTCATCAAACTGCTATCAATATATAATTTATTGAGTCACTGACTCACTGGTGACACAATATTCTTTTAAACATTTATTTCCATTGTACGTAACAATATACCTACCTATTCTGCTCGCTCTAAGATGGATTAAGAAGGGTAGGATATTATTTGAGGACCATAAACTCTGCCATCACCTTGCCCCAGTGAGTATTGAGGACCGAGACGCCTGGTATGTGTCACATGTCAGGACAGCACGGCTGTATATCAGCGAACTCCCGGAGGGAGTGCCTGGTAACACAGCTCCCCTGTTGAGCCTCGGGTTGTTGACGTCTGGAGACCTTTCCAGCCAGGCCTGATAGGACTATCTGTTGCAAAGTGTTGCTACTATTGCAAGACCCACGACTAGATGGACTGGAGAGTGCACACATTGCTAAATATTTGGAGAACAGATGTGTCGAAAAGGTCATGGCAGTTATAAATGGAAATGTCATGCATGCAGAGCTGGGTGAAAGTGCAGGTTTGCAAGGACAACCTGCACTACGAGTCAAAGATATGTTCTTTACCTTGGCCAGCTAAATCGAAAGAAATATTGCGATTCTTAATGCTTATATCATGCTGCAAACACGTTTAATTGTTTTTTGTCGTTTATTTATGGTAATGGACATCATGTATGATGGTTATTATAGTTAAATTTAAGCGCAAGCGTAAACTTATTAGTCAGAAAGCACCTTTAAAAAAAAACAATAACAACACAATATTAGCACGTCCGTACGAACAGTGCCACAGGGCCGCTCCCCTGGCATTATAACATAAGCTGATAAATCACAACATATGGGCGCCGCTATACAGGCAGCCACCGCCGCCCTAAATAGCCACGTCTGCCGTCAACTGCACCCGTAATAAATAAATGAAAAAATATGCCATCTGCACTCTCTCTTTCACTGTAAAGATTATAGTTCATTTCATTAGCCACCAGTTATCTGTCGCCTATCTGGATCTGGTAAAATATCGATAAAACTTTGCCTTATCAACCCTAAAAAGGTGTGGAATTACATCCATTATTATTCATAGCACGACAGCAGGTCAGTGCAAGCCCACCTTAGCACTCCGACAAGGCTGGAAAGTTCCCACGCAGCTCCTCCATTGATGCTCCGTTTCATGGACTTCAGACTCGGTCTTGATTGCAGTTAGGACGACACCCACTTCAGTATTGTCACTCACGAATGCCCTTATTAGCCTACAAACGACCATCACCATCACTGTTTCTATCACTGACCGCACACACATGGGCCAAACAGCCCGGCCGAGCGCTCCCACACAACTGACTTGACAAATGCAAATGGCGTCGCCAATCCCGCGCGCTTTATGAATTCGCTGCTTTTTTCGTACGACGGAAGCACCCAGATGCTGAAAAAGCAAACCAATAAGCACCGAACGGATGCGATCTTCCCGCCAAAATCGATGAAGTATATTTCGGGTGCTTTCATCAGCTCTGAAGTTTGATCATGGTGCTTAAAACTGATGCTTAGATTAGCACCATCTGTACGTTGGTGCTATTCCAAGCACCCTTGAAGCAGTGAAATACTTGAAGTGCGGGCATACGGAGCTTAGACAAGTACCTAAGAGTCTTAGACTGCTAACTGTAGAACATTTTAAGTGCATGTTAAGCACCCAGGGCTCTTGTTCCAGAACCGTAGCATCCGACTAGCACACCGGGATGCTAATCTTTTTTACAGTTTATTATATGAAAATTAGCTTGGTCCTCACTGCTCAGTGCTGGTACGCAACAAATAATGCATATACTTCTAAAACATTTCAAAAGTATATAAAATCATAATTGTTCATGAAGAAATAGTATGCAGAAGTTATTGTCTCATGTGGCTTGAGAATGAACTGTTGTTCGAAAATTTGCCAAAACCATATAATAGCCGTTTTCACGACGGGCTAGCCGGCGAATGCACCTAATTTGATCAAATCTGCACCTAATCTACACCAAACGTGCACCAAGTGTGTACCAGATGGCCGTTGTGAAAACGGCTATTATTTGCTTTTTATTGCATTTTTGCAATTAATTATCGAGGAAAAGGTCATTTGAAATCCTAGCTTCACATAATTGTTCATGTTAATTTGCAACGTTCGCACACTGGGACAAATAACATTAACGTGGATGATTTGAGGGGGCTCTACAGAGTCCCTTCCTATCTCTGAAACTACTGAACTCATTGTCAAAATTATCACGGCTTTTACGACCGTGATATCAGACAATGTCACAAAATGGAATAACCCAGAATTATCCCAGGAGTAAACAACCGGTGCTGCCTGTGACTCTGTACATTAGTGTTCACCCGCACCATGCTGGGGTTCCTAGAATCCCACGCCCTGCTGGAATGTTTAAACCCCCTCCCCCTCCCTAAATCTGCTCCTGAATTACGTACCGACACGCCATAAGCGAGGTTCGAAAGAGCGTCAAAAATATGGAGAAACTGATTCAGCCACGTTTTAGGTCGGGCCAAAGGTCAGCTCTAGAGGATATCAATCGAATACCATCTTAGGTATTTGTTTACCTTCATGACTTTCCTTCCTTTTCAAAGACCAAAAATGAGCCAAAACTTATATCGTTCTAGTGTTTTTGAATATGTCGTCCACATGCTTCCATCAGCACAGACGGTATCCAAAAGGAATTTCACTTTTGGAGATGAAGGCCTGTGGCCGATATATTTGAATACCTATATATATATTCCTTTTGGATATTTTGCTGATGGCGGCCTGTGGGCAATATATATTTGAAAACACTAAAATAATTTATTTTTGGCTCAAAATATTTCTTGAATGGAGGAACGGTCATGGTAATAAATAAATGCTTAATTTTTCATCATGCTTCTCCGAGAAGCATTACAGCAGATTGAGCTCACAGATAGTTAGGTGCCAACTTTTTGGTGCACCGATATCAGACTGATAGGTGCCAATTTGATATTGATGTTTCAATCCTAATGCTTTGGTATTTTGTCGGTATTAAGAGTCCTCACTTTTCTAGATATAAGTAAATTTTTAGGACATGTAGGTACCGACCCAGTTAACTTGGTAAAAAGTTAGTATTTCTCTCAGCACCCAATATTGGCATGGTTTGTGGCATTTTCCAATGGTTTTGCCTGATATTTGGTTTGGTATCGGTATCCCGATTTTCTGTAATTGACATCACTATAATGGTCAGGTCACCGGAGGTCGCTGAAGGTAAATTTAGCCTATTTCCGGGTCAAATTTTGGCAGTTATAGACAAACTGGCACATAACTCATGAACGGTAGAGCTACAGCGTCACGAAAAAGCACAATCAATTGTTTTGTAATGTTTTTTTCACTGTCATTCCCTAAAATTTCACCTAAAGTCAACGGTTTTGTCCGCAAAGTAAAAACTGCCAAAATATATACTTTTGGCGGAAACAGTTTTTTTTTTGCAATAACTTTTGACTCAAAGCTAAGTTTGCACGATATTACTTTTCCTGGCACCCTTTTTTCTGTCGTCGAGACGCAGCGAATAAGCTATCATTTTGAAAAGTCAACCTCAGGTCAAGTCATGACCTCACCTTACTAGAAAAGGTTGTGTTACTGTTACATACCAGTAAAACGCCTTTTGGGCGAAGAACGAGCGAGCGAGATAGTGAGCCCTGCACGTGCGGAAGGGCGAGAGGATACTTCCAACGGGCTTGTGCAAAGCACCCTTCTAACCGGTCGCTAGCGGTGTGCCAAATTTGAACGTAATTGGCGCAGCCATTCTCGAGATCTGGAAACGCCCCCTGAACGTGCGCACGTGCAGTAGTACCCTAACCGCAACACATGGGAATGCATTGCCTGGTGGGTGCCTACCTGTATGCCAAGTTTCAGCGAAATCGCCCCAGTAATTACCGAGTTACTGAAATGGGAACAAATCGGGCACCTCTTCTTTTTGTATTTTGCACGTGCAGTGGGGGTCACTCACATAGATCAAGAGTATCCGACCTATGGTAGAAGGGATGCAGGTACCTTATAAAAATTACCGCAAGACAATCGCTCAAGCCGCTGCTGAGGTATGGGCCTCTCAAAATCATTACTTTTGCAAAACTGCTTGAACACCCTTGACTTTTCACGTGGCACGTGCCACGACGGTCACTGAGGTGTATCAAAAGTAGTCAATTACGGGGTAGAAGGGATGGGGCTACCCAGCAAAAAAGACCGCAGGCCAATCGGTCCAGCAGTTGCTGAGATATAAGCCTCTCAAAAGCGTTACAGGCCGGGCCGGGCCGGGCCGGGCCGCTCATACTGAGATTTTTCCGTTATATTGAAGAAAAAAAAAGATTTCGTTTCGCTCGCTGCGCTCGCTCGCTCGTAATCAGTAGATGCGTAGTCTAGCTGAACGACCACTTATTAGATGTTTTCATCGGTCTAGCATCCCTCTATTAAGAGAGGTAAGCAAAAAACTGTTATGTACCATTCGTTACCTGAGATGACATCAGGGATATAACGAGGGGTCAGGGGTGCATTTTCCGGTTCAGCGGTGTTTGAAAGTGTTAGAAACGAAGTTCGTCCAAAAATTATCTCACTCAGGTCAACAGAATGAAAATCCAGTGATAAGATAAGCATTTTTACCTACTGTTGCCCTTATAAATTGCTAAAAGTTTCAAAGAGATCCGTTGTTCGTTTATTTAGCTATGACAAGCATTGGAACTTATTCTCTGTCATTCCACAGCCTAAATCCGAGTATCGACTTACTGCTTGGCGGAATAGATTTTTTCTTGAGAATTCTCGGACAGTGCTGGCGCAATTATCGTGACTTTTCATAACATTGAAAGCCCCCCCCCCCCCTGCCGCTATGCAGCTCACCTCCATTTGTCTGCGACAGGTCCTTTTCGACCGAGAACAGCGGGTGATTGTCGTCAGTGGTGAAGTTGAGGGCCAGCTTATCCAGTGGTTCGGCGAAGTTGCGGAGGTTGAACAGGTAGTTGCAGCCGATGTCAGAGCCGGCGTGAAGAACGTTCGGCAGAGACAATAGGATCGAGCTGCCGAGGAAGAAAATGGAGCGATTAAGAACCACATCGAGAACTAATCGAACCTGTCGTCAACAGAAAAAAGGAACACCGAGAAACACCAAGCAGGTGATGAAATTCGCGGCGTTGGCGAGACAGTCACCCAATAGGGCTGGCTGTTGAGATACACGATGATGTGTGCCACTGACCTTTTCTGTTGCTCAATACTCTGTGGCACCGGCGCTGGATATTCTGCCGTCGCGCCCAGCACCAGCACCAGCGCTGGCACCAGCACCGCTGGTCTCATCATAGGCGCGGGAGCCGGGGGGGCAGTGGGGGCAGCTTGCCCCCCCAACTCTGGGGCCGTGGGGGCGGTGCCCCCACAGCTTTGAGACGGAATACCACACTTTTTTTGCAAATGTTTTCTTTTTTTTTGTTGAAAAAGCCGAGGGGTGAAAAATAAGTGGCCTAAACCCGGTGAGAAAACTAGATTTGGGGGTACCCTAGGTTGATCTCTATTATGGTGTGCCCCCCCCCCCCCCCAGTCGGAAAGTAGTTCCCGCGCCCCTGCATATCTGCGCTCTGAAAAACCAGGCTGGTGATGGTCTACAATGACGCTGATGATGTCCGATAAAATGCTGCCGAGAATTTCCTGCGTTCTCGACCGAGTACTCAGGCGTCACCAGCAGCTCACCAGTGGTGCTGCCGGGCTGGGACCCCAGTCACCACTGACACCAGGCCCCAGTGCTGGTCGGTTTACAGATGGTGATTATAAACACCTACCGTCAGAGGGTGTTTATAATATCGGACGAGTTTTGTTTATCGGTAGATAACTGGGCGGTCAGCCGCTGACCAGACGACGACACATTGATCGCTGTGGAATGCTGAATCAACAGTCATTAGTTGTGCCGAGTGGGAAATTTGAGCAGGTTTTGTATACCTAATGAAGCTTCAATATTCACAGACGTTGCTGGCATTAGAGACAAAAAAAAAACTGAGCAAAATTTGCAAAGAAATGGATGGAGACTCACGCAAGCAATGTGTTTGGTGAGTTTCTATGATATGACTTGAGTGTTCCTGTTAAACTTTTCCTCTGGATACTAAATCAAATTTTAAGATTATTTCGGAGTTGGTAGAGTGGATGATGCAAAAAATGTGTCAGTACTAAGACGTTAGTACTGACGTTTCATCCTATTTCCTTTACGCAACTCATGTTAGTTCTTCTACTTTATCGTAACAAGAGCAAACTATTTTACATACAATCCCATAGGACAGTTGACCTCCAGGTCGGCTTCGCATGCGACCGGGATGAGCGTTGCGCGCGGAACGACCCTATGTTATCCTCACCTCTGACACAGCTGCGCTCAGAACGGCCCTGACTCCCTACCCTAAGGAACGTGCCAGACTCTGGGTCTGCTCGTTTGCCTAACGAGCAATAGTTGCAATTGTCGCGCACATACCCGCGATCACAATAACCAGCAATTGTTGCACGGTTAACGAATGTTTTAGTGTCGGTCCAAAGAACATATGGTGTTTGAGGCCAAAGCCCATTTTTTATGAATTTAGTCCGAACCTGGAGGGATTCACAAGAACAGAGTCCCCGCTAAGCGAGGCTTGTTGCGTTGACCCTGCCCTCTACCCTCCGATCACGCAATTCCGGTTCTATGGCAGAATTTGGAGTCCAAAGTTTAACGTGCGCACATAGCCGCGCACGGCCGGTCCCCTCGCTGACTTCGCCTGGCCACCAACCGCAACCATACCTGTCAGGAGGCCCGTAAATGTCAAGCGCCCGTCGCGCTTCGAACCCGGACTGTTGTAACCGGGACGCGTGCTCTCACCACGCTGAGTCCAACTCTCAACCGACTGAGCTACAGGACCGGCCATCGGTTATGCATCGGTTTGTTGAAAATTGTCTACATTCGACCTGAAAATCGTCGAAATTTGGCCTTCAATGACCTTTGTTGGCCTGACCTTTGACCTTGCCAAAAAAGTGACTGAAGTATTTTCGCCATTATTTTCACGCTCTCACAAACGCCGGGTGAAATCCTCCCTTTGCACCCTGGCTAAAAGAAAAAAAACACACAATAGAAAGAACTAGAACCACACGATAATGTCAAACAGCATATATCAACCTAGAAAACCATTAATCATTCATTAACCATATTAGTGGCAGGGGTTGTTTTCATCCATCCCTCAGGTTTTTCGAGAATATCTTCAAAACGGCTGGAGCTAGGAAGCTGAAACTTTTGTGACTTTTCTCAACACTTAACTGTGCACATTCCCTGAAAATTTCAAGTTGATACCTTTATCAGGTAGGTTCCAGGTCATGGGGGAATTATGAGGTCCTATTCGTGAAGCGAGTCATTTGGGTAATGATCATTATATGCATTATAACTGTAGTTATTCATTTTGTAGGCATATCATCATTATTTGGAGGTATTACAAGTTCACAAGTGAACAAGGGATGGATCATATCAGATTTCACGTCATTTCATTATGTGAATTTTATTTTAGCATATGCCGGAGTATGTCTTTAGCATTAGCGCGAGCGTGCGGTAAAAGCTTTTTGGATTAAACCGCATAATGTTGAAGTCAATTGAGCAAAGGTTTCGGCCCATGGGCAAAACATTTTACCAGCGAACTTTTGAAGCATTTCCTGAGACGGAGGAAGGCGCTGGAAAAGAGCTTAACTGATATAAATCTAACGTTAACCCGCGCACCGACGGGGGTCTGCGCCAACTTAGTACCGACGGGGGGGGGGGGCGGATGACCGCCCCCCCCTGAGATCTCGAGAACGAAGCAAGATAGCGACAAGCGGTAAACGGCATCGGATACGCACGGTCAAGATCTACAATTTTTACTAAGGTCATTTTCAGGTCAGGTCAAAGATGACGTCACAGGGGTCGAAAAAGTCAAAATGGCGGCGCTAAATATGGAGAGAGTTTTTCTCGAATAACTTTCGAATTAGTCAAGATAGGAACAAACTAAGGGCATCATCGTGATCCTCTCGTCAATCCGCATCGAATGATATATATGTTGACCTCGAAAGGTCAAGGTCAAAGGTTGACCTCAGGTCACGTGACCTCGAGGTCATCATGTATATCATTCGATGCGTCTTGACGAGCTGAACATAATGAGACCATCCACGCGTCTGTATCTTGTTCCTGTACGGAGTTATTGGCCAAAAACCTTTGGTGACCTTTGATGACGTCACATGACCTCACAGCTGCCCAACAGCAAAACAGACCTCAAGGTAGTGAAGGTTGATCGTATATGAAGTCATGTATGGTATATGGGGCCATTCCGACCCGTTTTAGTGGTAAAAACAGGGAGCTGATTTTTCCCCCATTGACTTATAATGGGGAGGTCGCGAAATTGACCTGACCTTAGGTCACCGATATCAAAATTCCGAGATATACAAATTGTAGCTACTAATGACCTAATAACATCCTGCGACTTTCAAAGGCCTCCGACATCTACTGTAGCTCTGGCACGGTGACAAAGTTGCAAAAAAGTGACTTGAGGTTGGGTCATTCAAAGTGACCTGGTGACCTGACCTTGAAAGTTAGGAGGTTAAAACTTGCACACCATGTGTAAAATTGATAAGGGAATAGTCATACCAAATTTCGCGGCGCTACGCGCCGCGGTTTTCCCGCTATTCGCGAAAAACCTCAGGGGGGGGCGGATATCCGCCCCCCCCCGTCGGTGCGCGGGTTAACTGACGTGTTGCATTTGGTCGCTTTGAACTATTGAAGAGATTGTAAATGTTGGTTTTCAATAAGATAATATTTTAAATCTTAATGTACTGACAGATTAATTAATCACCTACTGAGTGTAGCGCCAATTTCATGCCTTTTACAAGTGTAATGAATTGACAAAAAAAAAAACGCATTTCACATTGATCAGTAAAAACTTTATTCATATTGACATGGGTAGAAAACCAAGCGCTCACTTCACAGGATTGTAGGTATACCTTCCACTCTTCTCTAATATTGAAAACGAACGTTACTCTAGCTTCTCATATGACATAGATTGAAGTAGATGTTCTTGGTTTGATAGGAATCCAACTCACAGCCAGACACAAGGATGAGTCGGCTTGGTTTATTATCTTGGTCAGGGAATATGTACATTTTTTAGCTCTTGATATTCGGTCTTGGTTTTTCCACTTCTTTCAAGAATGTAAAATTGTTAAAGAAGCTTAAATATGGAAATTAAACGGCATATGCTAAAATAAATATCACACTTGGGCCGGAATGTTTCATTCAGGACCTCGGGCTTTGTTGAATTTTCCGCCCTCGACCTTCGGTCTCGTGCGGAAAACTCAACAAATCCCTCGGTCCTGAATGAAACATTTTACCGGCCCCGTGTGATATTATACAATTACTGCATGGGGGAGCGGGCAATAGCAAAAAATATTGCCCGATGTGACGTCACTGTCGCCCGAGGGTGAAGACCGAAACAAGTGCTATTGCCCGAGGCGAAGCCGAGGGCAATAGCACTTGTGGAGGTCTTCACCCGAGGGCGACAGTGACGTTACAGAGGGCAATACTTTTGCTATTGCCCGCTCCCCCATGCAGTATTCGTTTTATTACATGGCCAACTCTCGGAATCTTTACTTAGTACCTACTCATTCATCCCGTAATAAAAAAATATCCAAACAGAAATATCATGGTACAATTGAATGTATTGGATATACAACCAGTATAACGCCTTTTGGGGCGACTAACGGAGCGAGCGAGAGAGTGAGCCTTGCACGTGCAAAATTTCGAGGGGGTACCTCCAACTGACTTGTGCTTGGCTCCTTACTAACCGGTCTCTAGCAATGTGCCAAATTTGAGCACAATCGGCCCAGCCGTTCTCGAGATCTGGAAGCGGCACCCTGCACGTGCGCACGTGCAAAATGGGTCCCAACTGACTTGTGCACGGCACCCTACTAACTGGTCCCTAACCGTGTACCAAATTTGAGCGCCATCGGTCCAGCCGTTCTCGAGATCTGGAAACGACACCTGCACGTGCGCACGTGCAGCAGCACCCCAACTCTGGCACATGGATATGCAGTGCCTAGTGGGTGCCTACCTACATGCCAACTTTCAGCGCAATCGGCCAAGTAGTTACCGAGATATTGCAACAATTACAAAACTGACACCCCTTCGTTTTGCACGTGGCACGTGCATAAGGGGTCACCCACATGCATCGGAAATAGTCCAATACTTGGTAGAAGGAATGAAGCTACCCTACAAAAATTACCGCGTGTAAATCGGTCAAGTGGTTGCTGAGATATAAGCCTCACAAAAGCGTGACCACGGCCGGCCGGCCGGCCGGCCGGCCGCTCATACTCAGAAATTTCCGTTATTCTACGTAAGACTCCGCTCGCTTCGCTCGCTCCGTAATCATAGCCACGTCACATGTCTACGGCACACACTTAGTTGTTTTCTGTTTTCTGTTTTCTGTTTCACGCCGTACCTACTTGAGAGTGTGGAGACTCTTCGATTTGTAGCGTTCGCCGTCCTTGCGTTTTACAGTAATGAAGAACTCCTTCACAGCGTTGTCCAGGACATCGTTGCTGTGCATGCAGCTTTCAACAGATATGCCTTTTACTTGCAAGAACTCAATGAAGACGTCTTCTGCTGATTTAATCACCTTTTTAGTGCCCTGAGCCCTGCGCGATGAAAATAGCTCATCCAATTCATGCGGCTCCAACAAATTAAAGGGACCCTCCCACCTTAACATTAGTTTTGAGTTGAGATAGCCAAATTGGTGGCCATGGCCTGAAAATACCGGTTTGGGCACTCACAACATCGAACAATGCTTTAATTCGGAGATATGGAATTTCAAACTTGCAGTTTTTGGATTCTAAGGGGCTAATGCATTGGTATGCCCCCTTAGAATTTGTGACGTCAGCGGAGGTCTAACGATTTTTAAATCTTTTACTAAAACGTTTGGTAGCACGCGGTGGTATATGCTGCTTTGCGCGCAACAAATGCCGCACTTTCAAATAAAGTCGCTAGGAACAGCGGAGATCCCAGAAAGTAAACAATAGTAAAAGTCTAATATTTTGAAAACCGGTGAATATTTTTCGATGAAATTTGGTAGATATTCGTTTTCGCTCTTCCTGAACCGAGCGACATCACTTTCATGCCAATTCATTAACTTTTTTGAAGGTGGGAGGGTCCCTTTAAATCGGGGCATTTGAACGGACATGTTCAAATGACGGCCCAGTTCTAGATGACTTGACTAGCCAATCACGAAATCAAACTGAACAGTCTGAGAAAACGACGATAAAATTACGACATTTGAATTTTTGTTCAAACACCACTGCGCGAGCAACTTACTATTGACCGTTGACATGGCAACCGCTTATCACCTTCAGAAAGGTCAGTAACCTGACACTGAAAGGTCAGTAACCTGATGCCGGGCAATAGTAAAAAATATCTCATGCCAAATTAACACAGAAGCCATGTAATAATATATATTATCACCTCATTTTATCACACTTAGGCTGGAGACTTCCACACGCGGGTAAGTCGCGTGTAAGTGGTTTGCGGGTAAGTTGGCGTTTACCTCGCGTTTAAGTCGGCGGGTAACTTTGCCCGGAGACTTCCATCTGCGGGTAAATAGTTTGTTCGCTAAGTTAGCGAACGAACTTACACGCGAGCCACCCCATGTATTAAGTTCGCGGGTATCTTTTCGGTGGTGCTTTTTTGGGTCCTTAGGGGGTTTTAAAAGTTTATTTCTGTGCAAATTTTATGTGCAAGTGATAGACAATAGTGCAATCATCTAGTTCTGGCTTTTTCAGCCAGTTCGGCCTAGCCGTTCGGCTGCTAAGATTAGACGAATTTGAGGTCACCTTTTCATACTCGTACATAGTACTGAGGCCAGTTTTACCAACAGCAAAATAGCCGCCTGGCGGAATTTTTCGCCTAAAGGCCGATTCACATACGGATCGAGAGCGGTAAAGCCCTATCCGCTTACGTGCTTATCGCGTTTACACTCCGTATGTGAAACGGTCTTTAGGTAAAAAATTCCGCCAGGCGGCTATTTTTCTGTTGGTTAAACTGACCTCTGAGCTTGTTGAGGGGTTACAAATTACGTATTTCATCACTGCAAGTATCCAGATGTTTTCAACAAGTCATACATGAGTAATCAGAGCAATATTTGAGTTGACAGAATTGAGGATGTAGGACTCAAATTTTCAAATACGGAGGTATTACATAGTCTATTTCCATCGCACCTATCTCCTTGCCACCAGCTGCTATTTCGTAATCTTCGGGATAGTGAGATGGGATTCGTATCGCATCCGAAATAATGTGATCGTCGAGCCAGCCGGCTAGTGTCGGGCCCCTGTCGTCGCACTTCGCGTTACGTGTCAGTGGGGCGAGGACCAGCTCAGTGGAAGCAATATGAGTGTCCGGTCAACAACCATGGACAGGAAGAAGAGGAGCAGAAATTTCAGTAGTAGAGACATGTATTTGTTAGCCGATGTCATGAAGACTGAAGTAAAAGTCATCGAAAATAAGCGACACGATGAAAGGAGTAATGAAGAACGAAAACGGTCTTGGAAGAACATTGTTACAGCCTGTAATGCAAGGTCAGAAGAAAAATGGGACTAGAAACAGCTGACACAGCTCTGGAGAGAAATGAAAAGGACGGCCAAAAAGAACCATTAGCGGTTTTAACGGCAGCAAATGGGCACTGGTGGTAGACCGGATCCTGCGCCGTTGGAACGTCAGCCACCCCCGCGACACGCACATATTAAACTGATCACTCGGTGATAATCGTCATTTGTGTGGCATTGAATTGGACACCGACGACGACTCACCGGTGAAGTGACGGGGCGGGGGTGAGGACGGGGGGTGACGGAGACGAACTGACGAGGGCAGACGAGTAATCTGAGATACGGCTGTTGCAAGATCATGCAGTAGACTGGCGGTCGGCCATACAGAGTGAAATAACACAAGGCGATTAGCATTATTGATGCTGATTGGCACGGCTTCAAACGCTGTTCTGGTTAGGTTAATGCATCACCACATCCCATTGTTACGGCTGTACTCATTGCATGTGTAAAAACGCTGATTGGGGGCCACCGGTCCCATAAATAACGGAATTACGCACTTGTTCATTGGACCAGCTGATCGCCGCATCCCGATCAGCTGATCGGGAAGCCCTTTAAACTGGCGTGTAAGTCGGCATTTAAATATTTACACGCGTGTAGCTACCCACCAGTTAACCGCGGATGGAAGTCCCCGGGTAAAAGTTGGTGGGCAGCTACACGCGTGTAAGGAAGTTAGCCACCAAAATAAACGCGAGTTAACCGCAAACTGGAAGTCTCCAGCCTTAAAGGGTTAACTTGCCTTCTATCCTATACCCACCTATATTAACCTACCAACCTGCAACTAACCAACCCAAGTAGGTTGTATACAACCTGTATACTTCGGAACTGTGGCATACTTAACCGTCGCCGGCACAGGCCATTTTGAGTCCTTCGACGGCGCAAGGGGGGTTGGTATGACCCCACCCCCCACCCCCACCCTCGCGTTTGGCCCCTGATGGAGCTAGAGCTTCGCGGAAAAAAACGAGCGTGTTGCCCGTCACGAGAGGAAGGCAATGATACCCAATTTTAAGGTCCTAGGTCCGGTTGACCTTCCAGGTCAGATCAATGACCCAAAAATCGGGAATATCGGGACCTGTTAGAAAGTCGTAAAGCGTGGCTGCTAAGGGGTTTTCCGGGGTGCTGATCACGAATATCGTGTTAGTTTTGATCACATATTATGTCGTTAAGCGTTTAGACTAGGTTGGGTCAGGTCAGGTCAGGTCAGGTCAGGTCAACTATCTTACTTTTTAAGAAGTGAAGGATGTGTTCTTTCCTTTCATGCTCTTATTGTGCCAATTTGTCCAGTTTTAACAGGGTGCAAAAGGAAGAAATCACCGAACGCCGCCTTCCCCGTATCGCTACGTGGCCCAGGAGCCGAGCTAGAAGGGGAAGAGGGTGTTCAAACACCCCCTTCCCCCAGCAGGGGACGGGGGATCCAGATTCCAGGACCCCCAGCGGGCTCGGACCAACCCGCACCAGGCCGTCGCACGGCGCAAACCGCGCGCGGGAGGGGGAGGGGGTAGAACACCCCTTCCCTTCGGCCCGACGTGAGATAACCAGCTTTGCAAATTGCAAGCGCCACTGCCGGCGGCCCGGTTGGAGAGCAGAATGGCCAATCTGATGGCAGTATCGGACTGATGTGAAATTCGTGGAACCAACTGAATATTCAGGGTTGAATATTTGGCAGAGTACCTTTTGACCTGTCTAACGAAAAACCACAATGTGGGCCCTCCCTGTAGCGAAAAATGACTGTGCATGAAATAAGTGTCTGCATGGGAGCAGTTTTCATAGCCACGCTGTACATGGGACGACGATGACAGTTGACTTAGGTCACAGCGTGGTGAGGCTCCCCTAACAATTTGAATGACAATACACAGATATACGGTGGTAGGCATTATTATTGCATGCGTTTGCATCCGGTTGTTATCGTGAACGCCTGCTTGAGTCATCGACAATTATTTGATAACGATATGCAATCATAAGACTTTATTATCATGGCTCCTGAGTCCTGACCATTGTATGTATTTCGATTGCAACGATTGAGGTTGTCGCGTTAAGCTGTTATCATATCGCAAGGCTCTTCTTTTTATATAATTGGTAATATAAGCCTTGCGGCCAAGTGGCTGCTCCACTGTGATTTTTTGCATTTATTGACTTTTTATTTCTTTTTTTAACGATATTTTAGCCGACTGATGCCAGAAACCCACGCTAAGCAGATGATTAAGTGCCGAAGCTGGCCGCCGCTGTTGTGTTGTGAAAAGATCATTACAATGGGTATGTACCTGCCTTCAATTTACACAGACACAGCTTTCATTCAGTTTACTCCATGAGTTCCAAAAAAATACCCATCCGTCAAAACAGAAAGGCTGCCATACCACGCCGTCACCATCCTCCTCACGATTACCTGTGAACAATTCCGAGCGCCCTGCAGCTCCCTCTGTCTCTGTTCTTGTGATTACCTACTGCTGGGCGCATACCTGAGCCGTGGTGAGCCGTTTGCTATATTAATACCTGGCGGCCTGGCCCCGCGCCTGGCCCGGCGCCCGGTCTGCGGCGTTCTGTCAGCGCCAAGCCCAGCGGCCAGTGGAAGTGACTGGTTCCTGCTCGCTAGCGCAGTAGTGCAAGGGAGAAGCATGGCTGGGCTCCGGTTGGTTGAGTGGAGTTGGGGAGTGAACACCTGAAGATAGAGTTGGTGAGAGGAGAGAGTGAGAGAGGGAGAGTGAAGAGTGGAGGATACGGGAGAGGAGAGGGAGAGTTGAGGTCAGAAGAAGCGGTGGATAGATTGTCTGTCGTGCGCTGTAACTAGTTTTTTAACAGAGGCGAACTATTTCCGTTGCAAAATGGATCGACCATCCAAAATAAAACAATTTACCTACCCTTATAAGCATTCAAATACCTCATAAGCTCGTAAAGAATAGGTATTAGGTTGTTAAGAACGCGTGAGCTACAGCTCTTGCAGTTTTTCATTTTGTTTAGGAAATTAGACGATACGAGTATATCAAAAGACCATCACCCCAAGTGACTGCTGCTATGCATTCGTCATATGTCACAAATATACAGCGTGCATTTGATTCTCCACTCCGGTGCCGTCATTTTCGTAGCTATGTGGCTCCAGCGTTATGAAGAGGCCTCTGTTTTCGTTGCAGCTGTTGCCGGCGGCAGCATATGTCGGCTGTATGGCACGCCTCCAGCCCATGCAGTGACTGGAGCCGAGCTGTCAACCGGCACCGCCCCCCCCCCTCCCCAGTCTCTCTCCCCCATCCCGCTTCCCAGTTCCCCAGCGCAGGGGCGGATTGGGATAGGGGGGGGGCTAGGTCGTAGCCCGTCAGGGATGAGCTTCTTTATTTGGTTTTAATATTTGCTTGATTTGCCGTTCTTATTTTATTATGTTAGAATTTCTTGGCGACTGTCGTTGACTGCATAATATTTTTTTCAATTTCAATGGCATGTGATCTGTTGTATGTACAGTGGTTTATGCTATAACAAGAACTAAGGCGCTGCATGGTAAGAATGACTTTTATATCCTAAAATTAATTATCCATTATGTAGAGAGCAATCACATTACCTATATATTTAACCCGCGCCCCACTGGGGGGGCTATTCACAGCCCCCCCCCCCTCCCGTTTTTCTGCAATAACTTCCAAACCGCTTGACGTATCGACGCCAAACTTTCAGTACCTTAGGCTGCATCAATTTGACACCTTGTGTCGAAATTTGAATTTCGTATATGCTATAGGTCGGCCGGAAATGAAGTCAGAGTGACGTCATGTTCGGCCGATTTCAACGCAAAACATTGAACCACGGCAATCGCTCCCAAGAGCTCAGTTTTTAAATCCAATTTCTTTGCATGAGAGGACTCAGAATAGACTGCGCTATCAAACTGCTATCTCGGATTTTCGAAATTTTGAAAATTTGGAAAATTTGTTATACTAAAATCCAAAATTTATATTTTTACATTTTTCAAAAAGTTTTTGACTTTTCGAAAAAAAAACGGAATATATGTGATAGAACGCATTATTATGACTAACTCTAGCAAGTTTTAGCTACATATCTTCAAAAATGGCTACGTTTTACGCATTATTGCAAAAAAAAAATCAGAATTTTTAATTTTTCAAATCAATTTTTCAGCAAGTATTTGACATCGTACGCCAATATCAATAGCACCATCGTGTTCCTGATCTCAAACTGCATCCAATAGACACCTTTTTTGTTGAAAAATGTCAACTTCAAAATTTGGCCTTTTTTGACCTGAAAGTGGCCTGACCTAAGCTAAATTCGACTCAAAATGACCTCCAATGACACAGACGACATTTAATTCGAAATCTCGGACCTAAATAGACCATAAAACATGTGTCACGTGACCGACTCATGATATAATATTTTCGTGACCTGTGATGACCTGACCTTGACCTGAAAATAAAAGTACAAGTTTGGTACCCTCAGGGTATCTAGAGCATCTGCTCACGAGTGTGTGATCCAAAAATGAGCCTGATCTGACTTGTAAGCCGGCGGCCAGAGCCCAAAACGTGAACAAGCCAAAATGCTAATAATTTCTACTTTGACCTGACCTGTGACGTCATCGGTGACCTCGAGGTCAATGAAATTAGGTTTCTCTCGACAGTTTAATGAATAGACGCCCGCTCAAAGTATAATAAAAATACACAATTTCCAAACGGTTGATAAAAAAACATAAAACCGATAAGAACAAGAAAACAACAAATTGATTGGAGGGAGAGTAGAGCAGAAGACAGTGAGAGAGTGAGAGAAAAAGGAGGAGAGATGAGAGAGGGAGGGAGGAAGAAAGAGAGGGAGACAAACAGACAGACAGACAGACAGACAGGCAGGCAGACAGACAGACAGACAGACAGACAGACAGACAGACAGACAGACAGACAGACAGACAGAGACAGACAGACAGACAGAGACAGACAGACAGACAGACAGACAGACAGACAGACAGACAGACAGACAGACAGACAGACAGACAGACAGACAGACAGACAGACAGACAGACAGAGACAGAGACAGAGACAGAGACAGAGACAGAGACAGAGACAGAGACACAGATAGAGACAGAGACAGACAGACACAGACAGGCAGACAGACAGACAGACAGAAACAGATACAGAGACAGACAGAGACAGAGACAGACACATACACATACACAGACACAGACACAGAGAAGACAGACAGAGACAGACAGGCAGAGAAGACAGACAGACAGGCAGGCAGGCAGACAGACAGACAGACAGGCAGGCAGGCAGACAGACAGACAGACAGACAGACAGACAGACAGACAGACAGACAGACAGGGACAGGGACAGGGACAGGGACAGGGACAGGGACAGGGACAGGGACAGGGACAGGGACAGGGACAGGGACAGGGACAGAGACAGAGACAGAGACAGAGACAGAGACAGAGACAGAGACAGAGACAGAGACAGAGACAGAGACAGAGACAGAGACAGAGACAGAGACAGAGACAGACAGACAGACAGGCAGAGACAGACAGGCAGAGACAGACAGGCAGAGACAGAGACAGACAGAGACAGAGACAGACAGAGAAGACAGAGCGTCTGACGAGGGTCGGGAGGAAGTCAACAGGCCACGTGCAGTGTGTGTGTTGGCGTGGTGCCACATTCCGTCCCGCACTTCTGCCTCCAATTGGTCCGGAAAACAACAGCTGCTATTGTCAGTCGCCGTTACCCATAGTCCGTCTCCGGTGGGCGGCGTTGGCAAAACATTTAATCATTAAACCCAACATTTATTAACAACAAAGCAAGTAACATTTTACGCACAATTGTACACCTTCCGCGGCAACAAGCGAATTTAGTTCCCAGCATATCATGACGCAACGTAGACGAAAACGTCACTTACCTTATTGACATTTAACTAAAATTATGGAATAAAACAGAATTGAAGCAGTCATCTGACGGCATTGTTGAGATGAGGTTGTTAGTATCACTGATGTTAGTTGTCGGACTATCTCTCGGTCTTGAGCTGAGATGTAAACTTCCCGCAGCTCAAGACCGAGACGATTGTCCGACATTGTACCAGCACCAGTCAGCTCTCCTCCATCCTTTATCAACATAACACAGGAGATCATCATGTCCGCCAGAGCTTGATCGCCGAGTTTTCCATCTTCCCAATGGACGAAAGAACGTCATGAAGTCCCAGCTGCATTCCAAGACGTGACTCAAGACAGCACAAAGTCTTGGAATGCAGCTGGAGATTCATAACGCTGCTGGAGCAGGTCCTTCAATCTCGTGGTTGGATGGTGGTTGAAATATTTTTTTTTTTTCTAAGCCGCCGCCCATGATCAGACGACCAGGAGTGTCCACCCACTGACCCACGCGACAACAGCACCTTACGTTAACACCTCCCAAGACAAAAATATGAAGAAAGTCGCGACACTCCCTGCTAAGAAAAAGGAAAGCAAACAAAACAAAGCTAAATACAATACTTAGTAAGTTAGTAAAATGTCATAAGAAGAGGCAAAGAAGTCAAGACTAAATGTAGCTTGACTGGCCGCTACACCATTCCCAAAGAAGATAGTGAGAAGGAGAGAGTGATCCAGGGGTTAGTGGTAATAAGCGCATGCAAAGCTTGCATCATAGAAGAGGGACAGAGCCTAGTCACACCCGGAGGAGTCAGATCCTCACCGAAAAGGGATACCGAGCTAAGCAAGCTTGTTGCTCGGTAAACCCAGTTCGGTGGGAAGTATCGTAGGGCTGATTTACGTATTGTTACGTATCCAGGAGAACTTAAGTGTGACTTGTAAGTACACAAAACAAGACGAGACGACCGGTATACAAATAGCAAGTAATGTAAATAGACAGACAGCTAGGTCATTGAGCGATGGCGATGATTCAAAGACATACAGTTAGTACTGTACGTACTGTATGATGTTTATAGGGAGAAAAAGCAAAGCTTAACAAAAAGAAAAGGGCAAAACAAAAATGTGGGATAAAAGTTCGAGAAGAAGTAAAAGACAAACAGGGAAAAGACATAAGGACCACTAAATACCACCACCTCTTGTGGCGATCTAGGTACCCAGTTAGAACATACCTACCCAGTTACAGAGATGTACAATGCTCCAAAATTGGGTATGCATAAGTGATATGCATTAAAGACAAATTCTGTAATTGTGTACATATAACTATGTACTGTGCAAGTATGTACCTGTGAGAGAGCGGGTAAAAAATACATTATCAGGTAAATGTACGTACATACCCACAATAAATAAAATGGAGGATCATTTCATTGGCAGGTATTCGAATGTTTACGAACGCAGGTGGAACACAAGAACATAAATGTCAGTGTTGGCAATGGTATCAGTATTGATCGATAAAAAACTGCTTTGAGAAATCCTTGATTTCTCTCTTTGTTAGTGGAACTGCTTCCATATCTGTGAACTTAGGACCAATTATTGAGTTCCAAATTCTAGGTGCAGACCACCTAGTAGTGTAGCTGCGATAATTTTTTTCTGAGAAGAACTCGTGGAAATGATGGGTCGAGCGAGTATCTCGAAGCGGTTCGAGTATCGTAAAAAGTCTGTCAATAGATGAAGGCAAAGTTCCTTTCAACTTTCTATGCATTAGCAGAAGCATCTGCTGCTTACCAATGTCTCTCAACTTAAGTATTTTCAGTTTCTTAAAAATTGGTGCTGTGTGTGCGAGTCTATGTTCGCCATCAATCATTCTGACCACACGCTTTTGTAATTTCTCGATCTTATCTACGTTTGTAATATAAGTGTTGCT